CAGCGGATTTGAAGATTGGAAGATCACTTGTAGCAGGTCGACAAGCAGTACCCATAATAGTGGCCAATTTCTCTAAATGTGAGCAGACACTTAAGGAAGGGTCATTGTTGGGCATGTGCCAGGAGGTAGAGCCAGTCAATGTTAAAGCAAGGAATACAGCTGTAAAGAAAGGACATACACTTCCAGAATATTTGTTACGTCTGGATGGCCGTAACATTAAATTCTGTACTTCTGACGGGGGGTGGTGGTAAATAAATTAGAGAAGGGGGAAGACCTAGAGAACAAATGTCATGATTCTCATACTTGGAGAGATTGAGGATTTTTTTAAACATTGCTTAATATTATATACATTTTAAGTTCTTAATTATATAAACATTTGATGTATTAAATATGTTTTGATGCCAAGTTAATAATACAATAGTTTAACTTTGTAAAAGGTTGTGACATTCACATTATGATCTATCCATAGTGATAGGGTTAGTTAACATTGTGCCTGTTAGTGTTGAGAAGGTAGTGTCTCAGTATTTGTTAGTGTTAAAAATGTGATAACTAATATGTGATCTACGTGCTTGCTAGTTTGGTATATATCCTGCATTTCAATCTTCTTGTAATATTACAATATTTATTCATAAATTATCATTCAGAAATGTCATACTTCCCATAACATGTCATCAAGAAAACTGTTAAGTTGATTTTGTTTTAGCTGCCTTTGTATCTCTGTTATTCTCAAGAAGATAATTCTTGTTCTGCCTGTGGAAGGTATTGCTGCACAGTATTGCACATTGTGCATGGATATCAACATTATTCTTCAATGCTAGTTCACATATCTTTAGGTTACAGCCTCATCTATGTTTGAATGAGAATGACAAGTCACATGGGTAGCACTGATTGTTCTGTGTAAATGCGATGTTTCTTGCAAAGTAAGGAACATTGGATTTTGTTAACTGGTACATGTAATTGACTTGACGAGTTGAAGATACAACATCCAGTAAAGTGGTCATTCCTTAAAGCAAACTTACTGTTTGTTTTAAGTGTGATATAAGTAAAGAGTTTCCATTCTTCATTTTATTTTGTGTCCAGTCTCTTTATTTCATTCTCACGGCTTATTTTTTCAAATATAGCATTTTTTTTTTGTGAAGGTATTTTGACCGAATCTCCTGTTATTGAGAGCCCGTTGCTATAAGGCTAACTCAGTTTCATCTGAATATGCCACATTCGTGTTAAACAGGTGATAAATAACACATGTTACCATATTGCTTGTTCTTGTGCAGATGGAGATAATGAACATGTTGCCTTATTGACTGTTGGTGTTGTGAAGATACCCATAACAAAATTTTAGGTGCAGGTATACTTACTTTGCTCAAATAGTATAATATTATCTGCATTAGGCATAATTTCATAATAACTATATTTTACCACATACGCTTTTAATAACATACCTCTCAATCAGTCATTTAAGGGTTTCACGTCCAGTTGCCATCTACAAAGCTTTCTGTTAAATTTAAAATAAGTAACAAAGAAAGATAGCTTCATATAAGTTCAGGCTACAGGATGTCATTCTTTCTGTTTACTGAAAACCTTAATTTATTTCTGGTCGTGAAGAAATTTTTATCATAATATAAATAATTAAAACAAAATCTACCAGTTATATAACAGTCTAAGTAGCTAGGGATCCGTGTGAGTGTAACAAGTTTCTGCAACATATATTCACACCTAACTAAATCATAAAAGTCATGGTTATTGGTTCAAAAGAAAATTGTAGGTTTAGGAATATATTCAGGGATAATTTGGATACAACCTTAGAGAAGTGTAAAGTTAACGAACACAGACTTGTACAAATGAACATTAAGAAAGCTTAAGGGAAGTATGTGTCTTGATTCTGTCTTGTTTGTCAGTGTGTATCCAGTAAAATGGTGAGAATAATGTGGTTTTATAGCTTTCATATCTAGAGGTTATAACTCTGGAAATTTTCTTGAGTTTAAAACCCCAGGGTTTATCAGTTTGGTTACAGAAAAAGGGTGGAATGATACTTCATCACTATTAATGTTACTACTTTAAAAGTTGTGTAACTAGAAGAATAAAAAGGACTATTAAGATGATAACGAACAAGGCTTGCAAGCCATTGATCTTAAGTTTAATTTCTGATCAGCATTTTGTTTTTAACATCCTTTAGCCTCTGTCTAATTGTTGAGTGATCATAGTATCATGTATTTCCTAAATATCTTCACCTAGAGCACATCTAGTGAAACAAAATTAAACTATAAGATGAATGTCAGTAAAACACATTACAGAATATTTTAATAAATGTTTAATTTGTACCTGATGTAACAAAGTGTATAAAATTCAGATCTCTCTTGTACAAAACAAAATGGATTACCTAACTTTATCTTCTTTAAAATGTTGTGCTGCAATGTAAGCTGTCTATTCTCCTTTTTTTGTGTATTAAGAGAAATCACTCAGTTTTGGTTATTTTAATAACAATGTGATATTTTAATATTTGTTTATTATTAAAACAAACATTTTTTTGTTTATAAGATTTACTAACTTGTCTTTTTAATTATTTTGATGACAGTGTGATATTTTAATATGTGCTTGTTATTCAAAAAAAGTTTTTTGTTTATAAGATTTACTAATGTTAATTTATCTTCTTTTCATAAATACCGATCCAGGTATTCTTTTGGTAAGTAATTTTCATCGTTGTCAAACGTTAAAACATTTCACATATTTTAATCTCATCATGTTTCTTTAAGTCTCATTACCAGAAGAGAAAATGATCTATTGTAAATAGAAAGCAAATGATTCTTCAAAACATTGTTAGCTGTACTTACAAAAGTAGCAAAGAAAAGTGCAGGTCATAATTATTAGAAACATAATCTTTGATTTGAAAGTTTTATATAAGTTCGTAGTATTCATTTATGTTTTAAAGTTAAATTTTTAGCTTGTGAAAAATATGTGCAGTAAAGAAGAAAACATTTTAGAGAAGAGATATTTATATATAAGTGGCATAATATAAAGCCAAGTACTAAATGAAGTAAGGGAAATATTCTGCCTTTGAATCATTTAATCACATGTGAAGTAATTAAACATTTGTTTGAGTAGAGTAGAATAATGAAGTGGAAGTGTATGATTACTTTAAAGAAAAAAGAAATTAAGGCAAGTTTTGTTAAATTAGTTGGTTAGATTCTAATCAAAACTATTATGAGGTGCATCTTTCTGGTAATTTTTGTATTATAGAAAAAGGATACGTAGGTGTGTAACACTAAGCCTTACCTGTTGCATTCATGTGATAAGTATGCTGTTATTCAAGTTATAACTTTTTTCTAATGAATGAGATTTCTTAAGAGAACTGAGTTTAATCTCTTAACTTCAGCTCTTTTTCTTTCAAAGGTTGGGAATCACAACTTCTAGAAACCGGTTTTCTGGCAATTTTCCTTTGTCCAGTTCTGGCCTGGAAATGCCTTCCTCAAGAGACTCCAACCTCATGGTCAGTGATCTGGGGCTATAGATGGCTTCTTTTTCGAATCATGCTTGGTGCTGTAAGTAGAAAAACAGAGTAAATTATTACATAATCTTTAAAACTTTCTAGTAAGTCTTCAGTTGCATTTTTGCATGCTTACTTGTTATTTCTTTCTCAAAATACTGAAATCTGTACATAATGTATTAAATTCCTTGGGGGGTCTGTGCTGCTGAATTGTGGCATCTTAAAGTGAGTTTAATGCCTCATATTCTTAAGTTATAAGGATCTATTATTTTTTTTTCTAGTAGGTGTAGGGCCATTGATTTAAAAAATTTTTCTTTAGTTTAGAATTGTGCAGTGAAACCTCATTAATCTGGTTGCATTTGTAATGAATTAACTCATCTGGATGGTTGAATCAGTCACTTTGAACACTGTGAACACTATTATTAATATGAGCTATCGATTGATAAATGTAAGGTTGCAAACTAGTAAGGGTGGGCATGCAACTTGAATCTTCTGTAATATTTACCCACTTTGCTCTAAGGAATGTCAGGTAGGGTTGACTTGCCCATAAGAACATTTCTTTCTGCAATGAAATGACTACTGATGCTATTAATGCTTGCGTGTGTATTTGCCCTATTGTATAAGAATACATTATGTTGTAATGGTGTTGATATTTCTATGCTTCTTCTCTTCCAATATGATCTCTCACCTTCATACACAGATTAGCTATCTCCCTCTTGAAGTCGCATTTTCTGCATGAGAAACATGCATGTCTCCAGCCTTGTGAAAACTCCTACATAAAATTCACGTGAAATACGTGAATTTGTACTACTGCATGATGACATATCGTGCAGCAAAACCCTCCACCAATAGAAGTGCAACACATCTCCTTGTGCAAATGCTACCTCTACATTCATGCATGAAGTTTCTCTTTCTTTACCTTAGCACAGTTGTGCAGAAACATGTTTAGTTTTGCTTAGATTTGAAGTATTTAACTTCAATTACTTTACATTGTTTCTACCTTTCAATATGAATTCACAAATTAACTTGAAATCTTTTGCTGTTGGAGTGAGTACCAATTTCTCTCACAAGTACCAGCAATGCAAGTTTTTGCCAGTTGAGACTGACAGCCATCATTCAACGTGTGGTGGGGTCCATGTTACCACCTGCTACACGTTTCCCTTTGAAGCTGAATTGCGGAGCATGAAATGGGGCAAATTTTTTCCACTCAATACTTCTTTACATAATGAATTTCCTATGACTTGTCCCACTCACCTTATCTATACCTTCTACCTATGATTTCCTTTCTTCTCCTCTACCAGTTTCTTCCACACCTGACATTTCCTTTGGGTTTAAATTTGTTGCTACTGTTTTATGCCTTGTTCTCCCTGTTTTACCAGGTAGCACATATGAGTTATTGTTTAGATATAGTTTATTACTCCTTAAACCCTTTCCATGCAGGTAAGGGTCAGAGGGCATGTCATCATGTTTGTAGATTTACATTTAAAATTTTATTAAACTACTATTTTATGAATGTACATCAATATATTTGGCATCAAACTGTACTGTATAGTTCTTATTTTAGTATTATACATTATTTATTTTCTTAATTTAAAAATAAATATATAAACAAAATTGCTAAATACTAATTTTTGTGTGTCACATGGTACCTCATCTTCTGCTTTTGGTCAAATTACATTGTATGACACCCACAGTACAACTTCTATAGCTTCTCATGAATAAGAAACTCAAATTACTGATATTGACAAGCTAGAATATAAAATATGAACCTCCTACCTTTTCTATTTGCCAGGATATCATTATATTTACCAAATTTGTCACAGTGGCATCTCCCACACTTTCCTGTTTTGGAAATACTTATTTACCTATGCCCACTTCTCTCAATTACATGTTTATAACCAATAGAAAGTGCTCATTTTGAACTATGTAATTCTTTCAATCTTCCTAAAGTATTTATGCAGGTAAGACTGTCATTATTGTTGCAGTTTGAAGAGTGATTTGAAAGAAGATTTTTTAGACTCGGTTACAGCTTAGTTAAGAAGCCTAATAAATTACAGTGGAATTTTGTGGTATCAGTATAGTAATTTAGTTTTTTATTTGAAAATGCATGTATAAAATTTACAAAATTATTATTTTTACATGCTCCACATGCGAAATTCGATGAGGCTTAGCAAGTATGACATGCGAGTACAAAAAAACTTCATAAAAATGTAAGTAGTAGAGATAATTGTTGTCTGTTTTAATAAAAATGACTGAAATTTAAGAATTTGTCAATAGTTATAATATATATTATATTAGTTGTAAATTATAAAAGTTGTGTCATTAGTTCAGAGCAATAAAACCATGATACTACATGACAAGACATTTCTATTAAGTGAATACTCTCCTTGCCAAATGATGATTGTAAGTTTGATATAGAACAGAATTTCAAAATTAAATATTTAAAAAAACCACAAACTTCATTTTTCCCTACCACATGTGACACACCAGAGCTTTGAATTCTTCACTTCAGAATTTTCTAAATTCAAAAACAAGTTATTACAGTTTCCAGTGAAAAAGAAACAAGAACAATAATAATTACAAGCAAAAATCTAAAATTTGAACCTCCTACCTCCTTTATTTGCCAAGATAACAATAAATTTGTCGAACCCAACAGAGACCCCCCCCCCTCTTTCTTTGACTTTCAAGATTGTTGATTAATCATCTTTACATGACTGATGAATATGTTTATAACCAAAAGAAAGAGAAGATTCACCTGGAATTGTCTCCAAACTTTCAGAACAGTTTAAGCTAGATATAAAGAGAGAATTAGGCTAAAGTTACTGTAGTTGTCAGCCAGTTCACTCTTCTTGTATGACCATATCAGAGAGTCATGTCATGTTTAGAGTGTTACATTCAAAATTTAAATTATATTATCAATGTGTGTCAATGAACATGCCATGAAGATGTAGTTTATAATTCAAATTTTTATATTATCTAACTTTTAACTTCTTTTACTGTAGATTGTTTAAATTCAGGTGTTTGTACTGTTGTTTGCCCAGAGGTTTGATGTCACATGATGAGTGCATGGCTTAATAATTATACGGTCAAGCTAAAGTTGGTGGTCCGGTTAATTTTATCCCAATCTATTTAAAAGGCATTTTACATAGCATTTATGGTAACAGTTGTCTGCATACATAAATACCATTTATTATTTGACTATCCATCTATAACCTATTCAGAATTTTAATTAAAGTTTGCCTACCTCATAATGATAATTCATACAAGTGAGATCCATCCAACATTTGTCACCTCGAATTTTAATCAAGCCCTGTATAAAGATTTAGAAAAAACAAAAAACATTCTAAATTAAGTTTTTATAGTAAAACTATCAGCTAATTATGCTTAAATTATGTACCATCATAGATATTTTCACAATATTCTCTAATGATACTGATATTCTATGCCACCATTTGTTCATTAATGAATGAGAATTTCATTAAATAAATGTGCATGTTATCTTTACTTTTAAAACATGACTGAGGTATATACACATATGCTTGAGAAAACATTTGATACATACAATGAAATCCCTTTCATATTTTCAAATCTAATAAAGATCCACAAAAAAATTTATATTCATAACTTTTTGATTTTATGGAGAATATTTGTTATAAAATTCACACTAGGTGGTAGATATTGTTACGTCTCTGTATGTTTGTTTGTTAACAAGTCCTTTCTTTATAAAACTTGTTTATTCTTCCTCAATACAACTTTGTAATGTACTTAATTTTCACAGTTACACACAGTATAGTTCACAACAATTCACTCGCTTTCTATCGCGCTTAGACTTAATTGTCCGTCCCCGCAAACTATAGTTCCGATCTCTGTGTCTGCTATCCTCAGTTCCCGCTGACCGTAATCGCTGTCTCCGCTACGTCTCTGCCTCCGTCTCTGTCTCTACTACTGCTTGGACTCCGTCTGTCTCTCTCGCTGTCTAGCGCACTTATATATGATAATACTGCCTGTTCTAGAAACTTTTAAGACTCTCAACACGTGCTACCAGTGTCAATTGACTCCCGCTGTCGCAACACACTAGCGAATCTTCTAGAATATTCGTCACGTGACCCCGCTGTCGTAACACCCTAGCAAATCTTCTAGAATACTCGTCACGTGACCCCCACTGTCGTAACAATATCTTACCTCACATTCTTCTTAATGAGTCCATTATAGATTTTAGGTCAGTTAAACAAAGAAATACAAATGCATCTATCTGTCACACCTTTCTGCCAAGGAAGCCTTTTGTTCAGTACCAAGCTAATCAGCTGGGCTGGACAAAATGGTAGATTGCCACGTTGCTGCATAGGATATGTTTCGTTCATTATCAGAAATCATCAATAGGGCTGAACAAGACAGCAGACATAAGTCTATACAAAGTGCTATCTTGCATACTGTACAAAATTTTCTTCTATATAAACTTGGTATCTAAACATAGTTAATAAATCGTATTTTATTATAAGTTTTAATTTCTTAATCTTATAAGAAATTATTTAAATAAAACCTCAACCTTTTCTAGTATGAGAATTGTGACATTTGTTCTCTAGAGAACCCTTCTCTAATTTAGTTACCACCCCTCTGAAGTATGGAACTTAACATAAATTACTCATTATAATATTAATATTACTAAGGCAAAGTCGAATTTTTATAGAAATCAGTCTTTGTTTACAGAGTCATAAACCAGAAAATCAGACCCACTTGCCACACCCATCTGTCACATCCTCCCTTTCACAAATTGCCAATAATCATCTTTGATATTTTATACTATATCATTTACAACCAATAGAAAAGCCAAGTTTAATCTACTGAATGATGTATAATGGTATGTTATTCTCAGTGCAGAGTATTGTGAATTTCGTCTTCAGTTTGAAAGTTTATCTCATGTTGTTCAGATAAAGAAACTAAGTCGAATTATTTTAAGCCCTTCTTGTATTAGTTAGAAAGCTAGTTAAAGTATAATAATTATAGGAAAGTGTTTGATTTGTGCTGATTATTATTCTGTGTCCTTAGGTGCATTATTTAAGTAAATAAAAACTGTTCAGTGTACTAGTACCATCACTATACAAAAGTAAGATTAAATTAAATTTCATTAGCAACCAACATCAGAAAACTGTTACTCTTTATTACTGTCAGGCTCCACATATAACATAATCTGAGTACTTCTATCTTTTTGCCTATTACAACACTGTACAAAACTGACCAAACCAGAAACTTTACTGAAGTTACACATATTCTCTTTAATGTGCATAGAGGAACTCCAGCACTAATCAGTTGGATTTATTACAATATTGACAGTGTTTTTAGTTAAAAAAAAAAATTTTTGTCTTAAAATAATTTTCTCTTTAATATACATATAGAGGAACCCCAGCATTAATTAGTTGAATTAATTACATAATTGATGGTATTTTTATTTACATTTGATCTATGACTCATTATGGTATAATGGATTCTGTAACCATTGATGTCTGAAACCCAAAAGCAACTTGGTCCATAAATTTTGTTTATTATTCTAGGGTTAACACAGCTAGTTGTCTTTAGTAATGGAATGAAATTAACAAATTTCATATTCATGATTTACTACATAAAATGTTTTTAATTTTGATGAATGTTAACTGAAAACATTACTGCCTTTCCTCAGACACAGCCAGTTCCTAGTCCATTCAGTTACTATCTTCATCAAGCTCCAGAGGTGTACCATAAGTTCGAGACTTTGAGTAACCACTTTGTTGAGCTTATTGTGCCTTGGTTCACATTTCTGCCTAGAGGTTTCAGAATTACCTGTGGTGTTTTACAAATAGTGTTTCAGGTGAGGTATTGAATTGATCATATTGTGTTTCAGATCAAAATATTTATGAAAAAATTGGAATCTGATTAATAATTTTGGTTTATCATCTCTTTTTCAATATTTCAAGAGGAATATTCTTACAAACTTCCAGTATTGTGGCTGTTAAGTACATAACATTTTAAAGAGATTTATTAAAAGGGTCACAAAGTTTCATTACTAGATATAAGTATATGTTGAGTGCAACAGCATTAAGTACAAAAAATGGTAATTAAACTTTGACAGTTGTCATTGGTCGCTCTACTTGAAGATTGTATAAATAAAAAGCAGAGCACTTGTGCAGCACCAAGATGTATTTTGACCATGGGTAGGGTTGTCATAAAACACATCCAACAAATGGAAATTAACTATTCTATACAGCAAATAGGAAAAAAACAAAATTAAGAAATGAGAAGGAATCTTCACCTTTCAGCAATAAGAATGGCCATAGAAAGCTGAAAGTACAATTTAATGTTTTTTTATGCTCAATTTTGATATTTAGATTACACTTAAAATAAGTTGGCTTTTAGGTTGTTTAATGAGCAATTTGAAAAAATTGTGAAATCACCCTTTGTCATTATATTTTGGAAATATATCTTATGTTATGTTCACATAATCTGATCATTTTTATTTAGTCTTTCTCAAACATACTACACTATGACTTTTGAAAATACCATGCTAAAAAAAAAAAATATATACATGTATATGTATGTGTGTATAAAGTAAAATTATACAATAAAAACATTTCTTATGCAACCAAATAAGTGTATATTTTGAACACATAAAAGTTTGTCAGCATATTGATATTCTTTTTAATCTAAAACATTTCCAGGTAGCACTTATCATCAGTGGCAATCTTAGTTTCCTCAACTGGTTGACAATTCTGCCTAGTCTTGCCTTCTTTGATGATCATACACTCAGTTTCATGTTTTCTAGCAAACTTGGCTCAATCAAGTGGCAAATTATTAAGTTGCAAAACAAAACCAAACAAGGAAAATTAAAAACAGGTATATCAAAGTTGATACTCATAGAGACAGAGAATTTTAGGTATTATGCTTTAGGATAAAATATAGCGTCTAAGCATAAAATACTACAAACAATTTACTTCTTGAATTAGTGTTGTAAGTTTGATCCCAATTTACTTTAAGTCTGAACTTCTGTATTCTAATCCATGAAAATAATTTCACAAAAGTATTAGCTTTTTGCAAATGTTTATGAACATGCTAGTTTTTAAAAATAGATAACATGTTTTTTTTTCTTCCCTGTATGTTCTTAACTGTTTCATCACGGTCTTGGTCCCTGGGACTGACCTTGTAACCATTTTGTGCTTGTTATAGATTTCATACTATAACTTTTAAATTAAGAAGCATATGTGAATGAAATTTGGCAGATTATCAGTAAACATTACAATGCTTTCATATGCAAAATATCACTTTTTTTTATTGAGTCTTAAAGTTTGTAAAGCAATGTTTTCTCATGCCATTTTTTTTTTCTTTTCATATGTTGCCTATCTAACTTGCAAAATAATTTTCATTTTAAGATTAAAAATACTTTTGTGCATCAGAAAATTTTCAAATTTCACATGGAAATCTTTATAATGTCCAGATAGTTATCAAACATTTCTTAAGAAAAAAACTTTATATTTTATCTGTTATATTCACTAACGAATCTCTGTACGGGTTTGGTCAATTTGACCAATCTTGTAACCACGTTTAAAAATTAGGAAATAAACGAATCTCTGTACGGGTTTGGTCAATTTGACCGATCTTGTAACCACGTTTAAAATTAAGAAATAAATATAAATTGTGCCTTTTTCATTCTAGAATGTCAACAAATTATAACACAAAACATAAATGTTTAGACTAAATAACATAAATCTCATAACATTATACATTTATATATACATATTTATTATTTTTATTATATTGACCTTTCATCCATGCCTGGCTAATGATACAGAAGTTACAATGACGCGGCACACGTGCACTCATGTTACCATATCCAGTAATATAAAACTGACCTTTTAGTGATTACAAAGTGACCTGTCTTGGCTGTATTTTAGTAGACTGGTATTTTTTAAAATACAGTCACATTTCACTTATTATACATTATATATGTATATAGATTATTGCTATTTAGAAGTAACTTCTTAAACTTATTTTTCTTAAAACATAGAACATTAAATATAGAAGTAAAGCAAACAATTATCTCTTCCAGTTATGACCTTTGTACTTGGTTGCTAAGCCTTTAAAAATTTTGCATGTGGAGGATATGAAAAAAATATTTTTTTAGGTCTTGTATGTACAGTTGAATAACCAGAAAATCATAAATTACTATATCAATAACAATAGAATTCCACTATAATTTATCAAGCTTAGTAACTAAGCTGTATTTCAGTCTAAAAAAATATTTAATTTTGAGCAGACTAAACACACAACTACCTCCATAAAATATTGGTTCTAAAGAAAGAAATGGCATCCAATTATCTTAAAATGGCTGGGGGACAATCTGAGCTTCCAATTGGTTATTCATGTCATATATAGAAGTAAGTGTATATAAGGAAGCATTTCCAAAAATGGAAAGAGGTGGGTGGAGTGCCACTGTGTTTGATTTATTACATGAGCAATGTCTTAGCAAATTGAAAAGGTAAAAGGCTCTTATTTTATATTCTTGCTTGTCAGTATCGGTAATTTGAGTTCTTAATTCATACAAAACTACAGACTTAGTATTTTGACATCACAAACATCTAATTGAACCACTGCTGCATTCAACATACCACGTGATACACAAAAATCGATGTTTATCTGTGTTTTAATATTTACTTTTAAATTAAGAAATTCAGTAAGATATAATACTAAAATTTCTGTTATAATCTATAGTTTGATACCAAACTTATTGATATAGATTCATGAAATAGTAGTTCAATGAAATTTTGAATGCAAGTCAAAAAACGCGATGACCCATTTGGAAAGGGTTAACAGAATTATAGGTTTTTAGATTAGCATATAATAGGTTTGTAGATAACTTTTTTTATACTTCTAGACAGAATTTTACATAAAATAATATAAAATTCCTAGAAAGGCTAGTTATATAAGAACCACTATATATTTGCTATATCCAATGCCAATGAGGCCATTTGCTCAATAGTTACGTGAAGAACAACTATTTTTGTGTGTAGTAGATTAAGTTGGTGAACTGTAATATGTTATCAATTTAATTCATTACAGATCAATATTAGGTTTGTGATTTTTATTGACATAAAACTGTTTGTTTATTTTTAACACCAAATTGTGTATTATTATTAATATTATTTCCTTATTTATTTTACTTGAATTAAGTTTTACTCGAACATCAGAAGAAATGATAAACCAATAAGTTAGTCTTTTGGTAATGTAGGTTAAGAACAAATATTTGAATTTGAGAATTTATGATGTCTTGCTTTTTTTGTGTGTACAAAAGTAATATATATATACACAATTATACAATGTAATTACTCCTACCAAGCTACAAATAATGAAATGGGAATAAACTTAGCTTTTTATTATATCATGGCCTCACAAGTTGATTTTTCAACATGTGCAGGAAAAGTACGGAGAATAACAAACCTAACGCTGGCTCTGACCGTTGCCTATCTTAGTATACCTGTAGTGGTTAACTTGATGTCTCCTCATCAGCACATGAACACATCCTTTGAACCATTAAGAATTGTAAACACGTATGGTGCTTTTGGAAGGTGAGGTTCAAATCGCATATTATTTTTTTATAGGTTGTGCGATTGAGACAGGTCAATATTGGGTTATTACCCAAAATCTGCAGTATAGTTAGTGGCAAATAAATCTTGTAGAAACAAGTTAATCAGTTCATTAATATATCCATTTCTTAATACCATTGGTATTAACGAGTATGTTAGTTGTACTTATTTCTGTGTTATTTTTTCTTGTTCTTTAAAAGATGTTCCATATTAAAAAATAATTTTTAATATGTTAACTGGTTAATCCCACCATCAACAAGTGGCATGGTGTGTTTTTTTGCGTGTATGTTATGCATGGTTTAATATGTGAAGTTCCATGGTCAGTGACTTATAATTAATTGTTACCTGAGTTAGGTAGTTTATTAATTGTCTTCCTTTCATTCTTTGATTGTGTTCTTATATAATGTTTACGACATGACTGATCAGCCTTATTGTTAGTTTTTATGTTTTAACTATTTGGCACAACACTGTCCTAGGTGGGAGCTTCTTTTTTATAAGTTTGGTTTAATGGTGAAAATATGAATTTATATAAATGTTGACAAACTCTTTAGACAAAATAATTTTATAACTTGGATATGTATGATAGTAATTTTGAATCTTATGATCAGGTTTTAATACATGCAGATGCCATGTCCAATGAGTAAAAAAAGGTAATATCAAAGAAAGAAACACTAAAACTGTTTTATTGTTGTATTGTAGTAGCAAATACCTTTAATTTTATGTTTTTACTTTCGTTTCAATATTTAAAACATATACTTAGAATTAATTGCACTTTATTTGAATAATTTTTATATGCTAATAGTGTTAGAAGTTGTGACAGATGCAAGCTGTGGTGCTACAGACAATATGCTTAATACCCCAGGTACTTGGTTCACAGTGAATTCTCAACTACTTGACAGTGCAACACTGCTATTGGCTGCCTTACTGGTGGAGAAGTATAAAATGATGTAGAGGCAAAGAAAATAACAGTTCAGAGACAGAAGCATTTATTTAATGTTTCCAAGGGAGAAGTAAAGACAAATGTGTTCTCAAGCCAATACCCACCTCACTGTTGACGAATGCTTTCAGCTGCTAAGAGAAGGTTATGGTTATGAAGGAGAACCTTTTAACCTAAAAAAGCTATTACAATGAAGCTAGGCATATTTCCCATTTATGTCAAAATGATAATAGAAAACAATTATAAGCTTCCAACAATACTTGAAATCAAAAATTTTTTCTGTGAGAAATATGGCCCAATGAACTGGAATCATAATAATTCTATTTGACCAAGTAATTTACCACTGTTAAGTTGCAGTGTCATTGGCAGTGGTGACACTGTCCAGCTTGATTGTGTTTTTAGATTTTTGTTAGCCACTGGCTTTTTTCATTCCATGTACAGCTCCATTTAAGTTTTGTCCCTTTAGTATGCTTAAGTGTGGTCTTAGAAGTCAGTATCTGTATACATTAAAAGAGGGACAAATGGGCAGTACTACATTATCTTGGCCATCTATTAATGATAGAAGTTGGAGTTTTGATGGAAGAACAGAACGTGGAACTATGTACTTATAGAATGTGATTAACCATAGTATATATATCGAAGTATAGATATACATATAATGATAGATAACTATTGGAAATGTCTGCTTACAATCTTTTTAATTTAGAAGGAAAATGCCATTTATTTTATATATTTGGATAAAGAGTATATTTTATCCAGTATTTTATTTGTATATATACTTTGTACTTTTATTGTTTCTGTTCCTGAGTTTTTCACTTTGACTGATTTATAAGCAGGTGATTGATTTTGACATTAAAAAAATGCTTTATCATTTCAAATCTATTGGTGTGAATACACTTAAAAGTTCAATAAAAAAATGTCAAATCAATCCAACTTTCAATGGAAGTAGGGATAAGGTAGCTGTTACAATTGGCATGTGCTCCATAGTGCAATTTATTAAAGCCAAAGAGAAAGTAACATTTTACTATTTTTATTTCTTATTATGTGGAACTTTTTGTAGACTGTAAGTTTACGTAAAAGATCTGGGTGTCGTTATAACTCTTCTTATTAAGATATTTTTCATTATATAGAGATAAGTTTGATAAGTAAAGAGAGCTATCACCAAACTGTAATATTTAAACTTTTTCTCTCCATCAAAAAAATATCAATTTAAATCATCAGAAAATAAGTTTTACTAGGCAGATCTAGATAATGAAGTAATCTTGTACATGAGTTGTTCTTTGTTTATAATGTATAACTTTTGTATGAAAGCGGTATGTGTGTCTCCACACACACACACACACACACACACACACACACATATATATATATATATATATATATGTAGTAGGAGTATTATGTATAGAATAAAAGTAATA